CCTCCTTCTTATTCTCTTTCACTTTACATCCTCTTTCTTGCAATTTGCTTCGGTGAATTTTTGAGGGATGATGCAATGAATTAAATTAAAACAGAGGAAGGTTGTCTTAAATTTCAAGGCTAACACAAAAGTATAGGTGACGTATTGGTCAGTTCAGGCTTGATACAAAGGAATTCCAAAGCACTGTCAGAGCCGGGCAGTGGAAATCAGGCCAAAGTAAAAATGGGAATTGTGGCTGTGGGTATTCACCTCAATACCCACAGCCACACAAGCCCAGCCCAAAAAATCTGCATTATGTCTCTTTAGAGTTTCAGAGAGTGTATGAAGAGGGTGGGCGGTGGTGGATGGGTGACAGGGCACGATAAGGCTTACTCATTCATCCATCCCTCACTAGCTAGTAGATCAAGATATTACGTCAGGAAAGAGGCTTAAAAAGACATTTGAACATTGGAGGTGAATTATGAATGAAGCCGTGGCAAGAAAGAGAAGGCAAAAAGATATGTGGAGAAATATTTCAAAGACCGGAGGTCTCCACCCCCCCTCATGTAAATCCTATTAGAGTGGTAGGATAGCAAAGTGGGATTAGCTGACCTAGTCCATTCGGTCCAGACTGCTTCACACTGATAAAACACATCACTCTCAGATACACTGCTACACAGAGGTTCCTGCATCTTACTTACAGATGTACAGCCTCAGTGTTGTGAAGGCCTTAACAAGCCAACAGGATCCAACACGGCAACAACATGCTGCGAGAGTTCTTTTCAACATCAAACATTTACCCCCCCTTTTTTTTCCAACGGTAACCCTCTTTGAAAACTGCATCAAAAAGAAATACTTGTCTCACACACACACACACACACACACACACACGCACGCACGCACGCACGCACAAAGAATAATAACTCCAGGATGTTTCTTTCAGGAATGAGCATTCTCTCTCTGTCAGGAGGAATCTGTGGCATCTTGGAAATGTCACTTGCTGTTACAATCAGGTGGCTGGCCCGGTGTTTGCTATGTTAAGGGTTATACTGCCACAGAGAAGGAGGGGAGAAGCAAGCTGGGCAGTAAAGAGGGAGGGGGTCAAGGTTTCACAACAGAAGAACCTGTCTGATGGTCATCCTTTCTCTCCATCAGTTATTGTTAAATACAAGAGATTGTGTAACATTTTAATAGGAAATCATTCTGATTAGGGACAAACATGGGGTTTTGTGAGTGAAATTGAACATCTACTGCATCCATATCTTTTTGTTTTGTTGTGAAGGCTGACTGTCTACCCATGAAAGAGTATGCTGCTTTTTCTGCCTGTTCATGGCTAGTTTGAGAATTTCTGTGAACTGATCCATGATACTGCCAAGAAACACAGCTTGTGCACTCAACTGGTACAGAGAAATACGGAGGCCACCTTAACAAACAAATGTCAACGAACGGTTTCAGGTTCACATTTAATTATTAAAATGTCTCATTGATGGTGCTGTTAAGATTAAATCTGTCCTTTCCTAGCATCACATAACAAGAAAACACGTTTTGATTGGTCAGTTTATTAACTTGTTATCATTAAAAGCTGAAGATGCATCTATAACATCTAACCTACAACAGACTTACAACAGTCACACCTAAAGACCGTTCTCATCAACAAGCAAGATGTTTTGACTGAGCAAATGCACTAAACTACACACCAAACAATGAGTAAGTAACAACTAGAACTTTTAACAGTGCAACCTTGCAGGTAGCCGACGCAAAAGTGACACGTTTCATGGTCGATGTCAGGTGGAAATGTCAAAAACTTTCTGGATCTCAAGACTTAAGATGAGAATCCTAATATACCACCTATGCTATGATTTTTCATGCACACTATTAACACCCCAATTACAAAAAGTGATTCAATCCAGCTTGGTCTCATAAGCAACAACTATCCCAAAAGGCAACAGGAATTACAACCCTAGGGTATCACTTTTGGTCAGTTTGAATCAATCAACACAATTTCAAGGTGGGAATATGAAAGTCACCAGTTCAGCAGCTGGCTACATGTAAAATATAATCCTGACTTGTTTAATAATGAGTAGCATCTTGGCAGAACGCATTAATGTTACAGGCATATAATCCTCAATTATTCTTTTTAATATTTAATGAACATTTGTCATAATTAGATGGTAAATTCTCGACATATGATCAATCATGTTTTTGAAGTCACAAAACCATATCAGGCGTTCCTTTGGCACTCAGATACTAATATTACTGAGAGATTAGTTTGTAGTGAAAAAGGTTTGGAAGATTCTAAGTTTTATGAGACTTGAAAGCTGCTTTTAAATTTTCATAAAGGCTCCTATTTACAATGTGAGATATGAAATATTAGCAGCTCCTTGACGCTCAACAGTAGTATTTTCAACTAGATTTTTTTATGTTCAACATTTGCATTTTTCTTGTCAACATCATATTATTAGCATTCTGTAGCAGCGTTGACTTGTTTGAACAGTTCCACGGTTAACTTGGAGCATTTTCTGCTTTATTTTGAGCCATCACTATACAGCAAAGTGCAGCTTCTCAAACAAATATATCTCCCTTCTTTCAGATTTCCATTTTTATTAGCGTGAAACACGTCTCTGTCTCCCATAGTGAGAGACAGAGACACTTGCATTTTTGACAGGCACAGGAGGCAGATGCGATCTAAGAGTGTCGATGTCCTGATAACTGACACCATTGAAGAAGACACCAGATCAAGGATGCCTCAACCTCCCCCTATCGCCCTACCTGTCAACTAATTCATTCACTGACATTTGCTCTCCACCCCTCTGGAGATCTAGAGCCAAAAACTCATGGAGAGCTATCAAACTCACTATTTCTGTTCCTGTTGATAAAAGGGCTTGCTCGCTTTACCACAACCACTGACCCGATTTCAAACTCTGCTCTGAGGCCGGGAGATTTTACTCTTCCTCACTCCACAGTCAACCCCCTGGGGCAGAAAGGCCGACCACTATCGGCATTTAAAATTGAATAATGCATACACTCAAAAAAAATGAAACGTTGACTTTAATTAAAATTATTTTGTCAACAGGTTCCACGAAATTGAATTCTGTTAGTTTAAAGCAAAAATCTTTAGTTCATCCAATTTAAAAAAACTACTTAAGATTAACAAGACATATTTAAGACTAACTAAATCAAGTTATGTTGTATGAACATAGATGATATATTTTCAGGTTAGATAGTTTAGTTACTTCAACACATTTCTTATTTGTGGCAGTAAAATGTTAAATTTAAGTTAGATTAATTCAAATATTATATTTTCAGCCACCTTGTGCTTTATTAGTTTTACATAAATCTATTTTGTCAACAGGTTCCACACAAATGAATTAAGTACATCCAACTTATTTTTTAAAATTTATTTTATTGCCAACACATTCAGTGAGCATTTGTGTAAACCCAGTCCAAAATAAAATACAACAGCTCATTAGGGTTAGTAATTAACAGTATGTAGACAGATGCAACATCAAGACTTTAAATTAAATGTCTGTATCTACCAGAAATAGAAAAAAAAAAAAAAAAAAAACGCATTGAAGATCACATAACACATTGATAAGATGACACTTGAGTTATGCACATGTGATGCTAGTAAGGTCTGTGAGTGTTTTTTTCTTTTAGTGTCTAAAATGGATAGCAAAGTTGCTATTTGCAATGATTGCTTAGGGTCAGTCCAGTAACACAATGCCAATGAAGTGCTTTCCTTTAACAATGCAAAGTGAAGTGTCCACCTCAACAGCCACAATTTAAAAAAAAAAAAAAGATGTAACAACAACAACAACAATAATAATAATAATAATAATAATAATAATAAATAGTCCACTGATATTAGCAATCAAAGAAAATTACATCACCATCCCAAATAAAACTTTAACAAAACATGCCAACATTATGGTCTAACAATAAAACAGCTTGTCAGCGTTCAGTTTTTTTGCAACAGCACAGCAGTAACCATTTAACACTCGCCACTGTCAACATTTATTTTACCAGTGTTTGGGCAAAAAACTTCAGATGGAAACATTTTAACATGGAAACAATTGTTCGTCTTTAAAAGTCCACAAAATATACATTCATCCTGCATTCCCAACTTGGATGATCTGATATCCTCATGTTGGTGTTGTTCCCAGACCATCATGAAAATGTTGTTCCAGGTTCAACATTGCAAGTGACCAATCACATTGTTGTGACGTTATTCTATTCCAAGCCATTCGTGCATTTATGAAATTCCAATGTTGCAAGGACAATATAAATTCTGCTTACTGTTTATTAAAGGGTTACGATTAGGGTTAGGGTCAGTTGATCGGCGGACAGAGGTGGTTTCACGCAGCTTAAGTACAGTTTTTTTGTTTTACGCCGGTTTTTCCCGAAGTCGCAAAAGTATGACGTCACAACATTCTGATTGGTCACTTGCAATGTTGATCCTGGAACAACATTTAGTATGATGATCTGGGAACAACACCAACACGAGGATATCAGATCAACCTCCTAACTTACCCTTAATTTTAGTATGTATTGCAATTACCTTTACAATGCACACAATGTAACACAAACTGAATATGAACATATTTCCACCTCATAACAATATGCCTTGAACGCTAATATACACACCACCCTTCAACATTTCTGGTGCAGTATCATCTCTCAATTAAATCCTTTAAATCTCAATACTTTTGATTGTCTCTTAGCTTTCAGTCTTGAGGTTAACTGAGATTCAGTGCATATATCCCACCCATTAAGAGTGCACATGCAGAGGCCAGGTTCCTGGTTTCCAAAAGAAATGCTTCCAGTTGCATTATGATTTGAAGACTGTTTATTTATTACAAACGGAAGATGTAACAATGAACTCCTTCCTAAAAAGCATGAAAGTTCCAAAAAATAGCAGTTATCCAGAACTAGCTGTGCACACGGTCAGAAAACCGTGAGACTCCTAACCTCTCTGTCCATGCTCCTCCCCTTCCCTCTCACACAAGGTTTCATGCTACTATTGCACTTACATAATTAAAGTGAGAGGTACCCCCTTTTAGGTTCCAATCCCAAAACAGTGACTTAAAATTACTTTATGTAAACACATATATTTTCACATTTATTAATCCTGAAAAGATGACTTATGTAATGAATCTATGAATTATAAAACAAACATGAACTCAATCGTAAATAAAAATATAAAGCAGACGTCTGGCGCTTACACCCACATCGGCTGGAGGAGTGCTGGCATCAGCTCTTTCGATGGTAAAGATAGCAAGGGTAATTTGTTCCAGCTCCCTCTGAACAGCTGTAGCTTAGACACAAAAACATAGAAAAATGGCATCCAGTTTTAAAAAAAGAAAGAAAAAGGGCCAAAGCTACCCTTTAATGACGTAAACACAATATTAGGAACATGCACCCCAGTGCGCCACTATTTTAGACTACAGATTCAACGATAAATATAAATAGTTTGGGTATACAAGAAGATTTCCCAAAACATTTAAACAGGTTCCATGCAAATTACAACAACAACAACATTACAACATGCAACAACATTAGTTATTCAAAATTTGGTTTAATACAGATAAAAAACTAAACTAAAATTACCAACCAATTATTCTTTGAAGAGGATGCTTGGGTCTTCATTCAGGTAAAAAGGTAGTGCCCTGAGGACACACTCCCTCCCCTTTTCAATGGTTTCCTTCTGTAGAGAGTGGCAGAGATACAGGAAGAGAAAACAGATATACTTTAGGATGACAGAAACTCACATTATACGCAAAATGAATGACATATCCACTGCACAGATAGACATGTACACAAGACCAACTAATCATCACATGGACATGAATAGTTAACCTGTTGGGCAGGGTTTCCACCACATTAGATATGTCCATAATGGAGGTAAAGACAAACTAATACATCATCTTTTTTGCATTCAAAACATAACATAAAAACATTCACTTCTGGTTTAACCTAAATCAAGGGATCAGATTTTACATATGTTTAGGTAATTTAAATTTTCCAACGTTTTGAGTACCAAACTTTGTCTTGCTTAATATAAATGTAAGTGCACTGTGCAGCTACCATACACTAGCTGTTTAAATTTGAAAATGATCTTATTAGCCATAATATTTTGCTACCAACAGAATAACGCACCTGTGTGGCTGGGGCCAAAGTTTGTCTAATTTTCTTCCCTGCAACGCCTCCTTTTTTCTTGAAGACTTTTATGAGCTGGTCAGTGTATTGGTCAAGTTGTGTAAAAAGCCTTGGAACATGTGCAGCAGTAGTAATCCTCACATATTCTGCTTCCACCTGAAAATATGTCAACAAACACAACATACTGTACTGTAAATATACATACTATATGTACACATATACAAACTAAAACTAATGTAGTAAGACCTCATTAAAGCTATAATTTTAACACAAACATTTACACAAAATGCTAATGGAGCCATTACAGCTTTTATTGTTATTTATCAAGTTCCAAAAAATATTGATCACAGCTGATCTGAAAAGAATTTCATGCCTCAGGCCCTTGAACTGCAACCTTTACCATGGTTCAGATGTGGAGAAGAAATAACAGGGGCATGGGATGGGTCACAAAAGAAAACTTAACTTATAAAACAGTTTTGTTTTTAAAAGTATAACAGTTCACATACCACATACAAGCTCAGCAATACCACATACACCACATCAGTATAGGAGGGAGCAGGTAAAGGCAGGATCTGAGATTTATAAAGAAAAAAAAAATTAATTCCTTAATTTCAAGAAGCAAATTATTGTTTGAATTACAACTAAATAAAATACTACTCAGAAGAAAAGCAAGAGATTGACACTGCCATGTGCTAACTTTCTATAGAAGCAATTATCACCAGGTCTGTCGACCTCCATTGTCTGTCCACTCATATGTCTTGAATAATTTTATTTAAAAAAGTAAGTGTGTACTTTCACAAACTGTAATTTATAACTACATTGATATGTATAACTCCGCTAGGAAACATGCTGTATTTACAGACCATTTTTACATAATACAGATTACTGATAGAGCAGAACAATGGTGTCACAGTGGCTTTCGCCCTTGACTTTTTGGATTTTAAATGTCACTTTATGCTATCCTTGCTATCCTATTCGATATTTCCGACTCTCGGATTACAGAAAAGGAATCCCAAGAAAGCAAATGGAAAAATAACCCCTTGAAAGAATAACCCCATGAACCCCTGTAGCTAATCCCTTAATAAAACAAAAAACAATAAAAATGTTTCTTACACAGTCCACAAAATAAGCATGTCCAGGACCCAGTAAAACTAATGTAAAACAAGCACACGCAAACGATATAACATGTCTTGTAAGACAAACGCAAAATATAACCATGCTGGACATATAGATACTACACAACATAGTCAAAGAAAAAAGTGGTCTTACCTCTCAAAGAAACAGTAGCTTGGCGCCAAAACAGCCTTTTTCAGTTAAATTTGAAGTCTTGTGCATGAGCAGGCACAAGCCGTGAAACCTTCTTGTTCTGCGCGGTTTCATTACAACTGTTTTTGCATTACTGCCACCTTGTGGATATACAAGGTATATCGATCCTAATTGACTTAACTTAAATGTTATGCGATCAAGTAACACATTAGTATTATGTACGTTGAATAATAGACACAATTACGTAGACTTGATTAGAAAAACATATGTTAACTTAACAAAAACATATATTTTAAGTAAAATGAAAATAAATAATTAATATACACTGAACAATCCACCTCATTCATTTTTTTGAGTGTAGACAGCGCTTTGGCACCAGGGTTGAACTGGAAAACCTTCTATCACACTTCTGTCCATAGGTTGTGACAGATGAGTTTTTAAACGCACTTGCTCTAAATCCCATGCGTGGAAAGGCCGGAGGTAAAACTGCAACGCCGCTCTATGTGTGCACTCAGCAAGTGGGAAGTTTAGACTAGTCCCCGATATGAAGTGTTTGTTAGTTTGTTGGTTTTTCTCACCAGATGTATTGCAACAATCTAGAAAATCGCCATATATTTAGAGCTGCTGAAGGCAGAAGGAACATTGCAATTCACAACTTATGAGGCCACTAATATCATGTAATCTGTCATGGCTTTGAGGCAGTGGTAGCAATGTTCAGTGGCAACCAGCGAGTCAATAAAAATAGCCCACACTTGTAGCTAAAGCCGTTTCTCTAGGCTCTCGGCTGCCAGTGTAAGAGTCAGTGGAGACTATACTAATCTTATCTTTTCACTTCTTGATTTTCTTTTTATATACTCAAGTAGCAACTGTTTGACTGCACATAACCACGTCTTCACTTTGGTCTTCTGGTAGCTGGTAAGGAATGCTGTTGATGTGGAGCCAGTGAAGTGAGAAGGAAACCAAGCAAGTTTAGTGAGGTCCCATTGAAGGGTGGATTAACATTACTGAGCTGCATTCCAGTGTGTTCACAGTAATGTTTACGTAATGCTACTTGAGCAGAGTTGCTGGACTGGTCACACCGCTTATACAGCAGGTGAGCTCCAGAAACAAAGTCTCTGAAGCCATTTGACCCTTCTACACACTACAGCAAGTCCATTATTTGTAAGGTTATCGATATAATGCACTGCATTGTGTGTAAGCTTATACTCCATATCACATTACCATTATATTAAGCAAACAAAAAAACAATAGCTTTTGGAGTAAACTCTAGCTTTATGAAACCAGCTTGGTTTTTACAATACTGCGTCAGAATACTTTAACTTCTTTTATTTAACTTTAAGGGCTGAAACTTGTATTGTACTTTTCTGCTCTAACCTTTTTACCTTGGTTTTGCCACGCTGTATATGTGAGTCTGTTCAAACAGACTGAGAAAGACCAGCTGTCTCTAGCGGGAGGTCTCATAAATCAATAACCCATTCATCTATTCAGTAAACTGCTTATTATGACCAGGCTCGCAGGGGATCTAAAACCTATACTAGAATGTGTAAAATAAGATAGACAGCATAGAGCAAGGACATCACAGCAGCTCCAAAGACACAGGCCTGAAATCAATGAATAAATATCCAGTTATCCCCATACTGTGTGAACATTCAATTAAACAGATTTGCAGTTCATAGAATATGTCACTAACAAACCTCAGGCGATATTTTGACTGGCCTTCAGCTCATAGTTTTGTTAATCTGTGGACATGCAGGCATTCAATATTGTGGAAAACTCTAGAGCCATCTTTGAGTGTTTTATATTTTGATTCCAATCAAACCTTATTCTAATGTTTTTAAAGTAGTATTAAGCAACAATGCATTGAGTCCAGACTGTGATGAAGAACATTTAAACTCATCAGAACTGTGCAAACTCTGTATTTGCCCTGAATACTGTATTTCTGCATGTTTTAACTCACCGGACATATTTTCCATTTCCGCAGCAAAATATAAAGAAATCGATGGTTTTCACAGTTTTTTCCCAAAAACTATCGCAAACCTTGAAAATATGAGCGAAACAGTGTTTCACATCTTGCATCCAGTACATAATACAACATGTTTGTGTTTTCCTGATAGCAAAGCAATAGGTGAAAAACAAACTTGAGTATATTCATGTTTTAAGAGGAAATCATTTTTTCCCCCTGAACACTTCAACACATCTCTAGAGGACAGATGATGACAAGAATAAAGATGAGACAGGAAAAATGTGGAACATCACAAGGTTGTCAAAAAAATTCATTAAAGAGGCAGGTACAGCTTGTAGAGGGTGTAGCTCCTGTAATGTAAAGAACTGCTCTCAAGAGGAGGTAAAATAAATATTAAGTATGCGTGCTGTTGTTAAAGTAAGCTTAACCAAACAGGCCTCTGATACATTAAACAACCTGAGGGACAGCAAGTTTGACAAATGGTATATATCCTGTAAAAAAAAAAAGGATTGTGCAATACAGGATGGAAATAAACCAGAGTTAAAATGATTAGCTGATTGACCAATCAGTTGAAAGATCAGCTGCAAGATCGTGGACCTTAAAAATCTTAAGTATTTAAACTAAAATAAAATGTGGATGCACAAAAGCGGCCTTAGTTGTGAATGAGCATTTTGATTGATATCAAATGTTTGTTATGTGACTATTCAGTGTGACTGGACCCACACAAGGAAGTGGAACAACACTTACTATGAGGTTATGCACAGGAAGGATTGTTGTGAATTTCACACCATGGATTTTGTTGTTATTTAACTTAGTTTTCTAAACTCAAGTCTCAACCAATCTGTAAGTAGGAGATAAAAACAGATTAGCCACAGGTTTAAAACAGCTAAGATGGGGAGTGTGTGTAAGAGCCGATTGCTATCTGATTAAAGGCTACTTTGCAGTTGAGTATAATGGAATGAAAGAAGAAAACAAAACCACAGTCTGGGCAGTTGAAGAGTGTCTTCACTGAATATTTTTTATGTTTTTTTAATCCAACTGTCAAACATAGATTTCATCACTAAATAAGCTTATGCTTCTGTTCAATAAGTGAGATATATAATCATTCTTCTGACCGCTTTCCTGGGTTGCCTTTATATCCCTTCCACTTTCCAAAACTCAGTACTGATCATCATTTATGTAGTCTAATCATCTCCTTTCCAGCCTTCTCTGAGCCAATCAGCCTCCATGCTGTGTGCTTTAAAATCCCAGTCCTCTTCTGTCATTCTACCTTTCAGACTCTCATGCAACCCACCTCATACCCATCTCTGCCTCACCCTGGACCCTCAGAGCGCCACCCAAACATCTCTCTTCATCTTCACCAGCACCAGTGTCTAGACTCCAGGAAGTCCTGTTTTAATTCCTGTCACTGCTGGGATTCCAGTCTGCTATGATTCATAGGAGTCTAATCGCCAAATAGCTTAACTGAATTTTGTATCTTAATAAATGTTCAGTTCTTCCAAACAATCTCCACTTAATCAAATATTGTAAAACCATACATGCATATAAGGTTTTTGAATTACAACAGTGCTGCATGAATGAAATCAGTTTGTAGAAAAATGAAAGAGTTTTAGGTAACAGGGAAGAAAAACAAGAAAATAAAACTCCTTATACACAGAACCCTTGTCCATAAACTGATGCTAAATGTAAAGTAAAAATAAAATAAATCGAAATTCCTGGCTCGTGTGAAAAAAGCCAGTTATTTTCCTCATCTCTGCCTCACTGCCACAGTGGAGGAAAGCGGCTTTATCATACCATGATTCACTGGCAGCCTAATGAGAGCTACAGTCCTAAGCTGTTTATGTTGCATAAAGGACAGCCGCTATTAGCACTGGTGTCAGAGTGGGGGAGCTGGACATTGGGTGGCAGTGCAGCAACAGTTAAGCTTGTAACAGTATTCATTTACTACCAAGTCCTCAGCTGGCGGCCTGTAGCGGAGGCCACATGGTTGGCAAACTCCAGATGAACTGAAGAAACAGGATGATACTTAGCATACGTGATTAAACACAAGAGGGATGTCAGCGTGGATGCTGATCACAGCAGGTTTTCACATTTAGTATTCAGTGTCATAAAATACACAAATATTTGTAAAGACATTCATGGACATGATGCATTTTCTAGCCCATTTCCCTTTTATTAACCATGCCAACTAAACCCTAACACCAGTTTTTAGCCTAAAGCAGCCAAAACTCTTTCAAAAAATATCCTCATTTTCTTTTAAACAGCCAGAAAATAAAACCACCTAAATTCAAACTGCTTTAACATTTAACATTAAGTTAATTTGTATCCGTCAACAATAATCTTTTAAAAAAAATAGTGGGACTCGAGAAAAAATGTAGCAGTAGAAACTATAGTTGCCATAAAATGTGACATGTCTACCATTTGTTCCCTTTAACCATATCACACCTAGTTCTGGTGTGATAGTTCTAATTCTCCACATGCACGGTAGCAAGGTGAGCATCCCACATCAGAGACAGAGACGAGGACACGGAGAGTGTGGGAATGAATGACTGCCACTTCAGCAGCTTCAGAAAACAGTCACTGCACACAAAGATTCATTTCAGACCAACTGCAGCTGAAAGAACAAAACCGTTCTGACCCTTCACAGATTCAGCTCCACTTGGAGCAGAGAAGATTTAAGGTCTGTGGTGAAGAGACGAATTTCCCCCAGAAATATTTGTTTTCTTTTTCCTTAAATAAAATGAAAACCATGATTAAGACTGCCACATTAACACAAGACTGCATCCCAAAATACATTTACTGGCATAATTTAACAGTGCTTTGTTTGTTTGTTTGTTTGTTTGTTTGTTTGGGTTTTTCGTGAAATTCACTTCTGCAATTTAAATTTGATCACACTGTTAAAACAAATTTGATGGATTTTAGTGCAACCTGGAAGTGTCAGGTGTAAGTATATTTGTAGAAAGTTGTCACTTTTGTGTGTGTTTAAAAAGAAATCGAATGAGACCAAGATTCAGCTTTGGACTAAAGCTGATCACAGCTCATAACAGTCATATCAAATTTTTAAAATAAAATTGGAAATGATCAGAGAAATGGGGTGTCTGAGAAATCTTAACAACTTGAGTGAGCAATGAAAATAGATCCAGCGCTGTCCCACTACTCCAAACTTGCAAGAGTCAGCAAAGCATACCTGTGACTGGGGCTATGGTAACCAGCTTAAGCAGAAAGTTGGTGATCGTTGGCTTTAATAAAGCTCCAGCCCAAAGGAAGGTATCTGATCTTGGAGCCAGTTTAATCCTATATTTTTGTGGTTATTGGCTTTAAATGTTCTTTTAATTGAAGAACTTTACAAGTGCTCAGTGGATACAAAAATCTGCTGTTTGTTACTTGAAGCATTGGGAAAAAAATCTGAATAAAACTCAAATACTAAATAAACTCAGAAACAAATACAGGTTTGCATATTAATAATTTATAATATCACGTAACATTGCAGATATGTATTTATTCACTTTATCAAGGCTGTAATGATAAAAACTAAGGAGTTGAATGTGATGAATATAACTAGTATTGAATTTATACATTTTTTACACAAAGAGATCCAAGGTACTAACAAAATGAAAACAGTGGCCAAGACCCAAGAGGAGATTATGTTATTATTTTACTAAAACTTCTGTTTCTGAAGTATTTAAATTTTTTACTCTATTTTTTAACAGTGAAGTAACTGGCCTGAATAACAAACAATGATTTCAAACCAGACAAGGCGGATCAGTAAAAACCGGTGACGCAGACTTACCTTGGCATTGGCTTTGGTCTTGGTGCTGCTGTTGTTGTTGTCAGGGCTGGAATTGGCATCTTCATGAACTCTATCTAAAAGCCAGAGGAGGAACTCGAGGGCATCATGCTGAGAGTTTCCACGAAACTGAGATGCATATTTGGCCACAATGCTCTGTGGGATGGAGAAACATCACAATTAATCTGTCTTTCCAGGTGATTTCTAACAAACTTTGACTTTTGCATTTATAAATTAGTTTTGGTTTGGAACACTCAGGAGGGAGACAGCAAAACAGCAATGCTTTTCCGTCTGTCATGATCAGATAAGTCATACTAAAATATCCGTAAGACATTAAAAAAAGATGTTTTCCTCTGTAGTACAACCCAACCTTTGTCTAGAATATAAAAGCCATTGTTTTTAGAACTTTATAAACTAAGTAAGCATTGTCAAACTTAATGAGATTTCCTGGAACTAAACAGTACAATACAGGGATGACAGCCTTTTATTCCTTTTATTATCCATGTATTATTGCCAAAAAAAATATCTTCAAAAGCCAGACAAGTCCTTGAACAGCATTGTTTGGGCATATAAAGCCAAAGAACCCTTATCAGAAAGCCAGGATGAAAATAGGGTGGAAAAAGGCTTGGTATGTCTCATGCTCCCGAACATAATAAACAAAAAACATGGTATAAAAGGCAGAAGAGGGAGTATAATGGCATGGGCATACATGGCTTTTAGTGGTACTGGGTCACAGACAGCAGAATCGGGTCTAATGAATTCAGAAGTGCAGAGGGCTCATCATTCATCTCTCATCTCACACTCTGAAAGCAGCTCAGGAGTTTCTGAAGATAAATACGTGGAATATTCTGCACTGTTTGATCCACATTTCACTCACAGACACAGACATAAGTAAAGGCATCATAAACTACTACGAAGGCCAAAACTATTTTTTAATGCCAGCATCTTACAGACAGAGAAACATAAATTCTTGTAAGCAAAGAACAAACAAAGTTCCACTCATTCAAATGTACTCCTAATATTCCTTCATGTTTGTGGAAAATAAAACTTCTTTAACTTTATCGTCACATCTTTGCTCTGCATATTTGATGCAGTTTTTATCAGGTGACGTAATCATGCATGGTGGTTTGATGAGCGTCATTGTCAAAGCCTGTAATACTTTCTGGTTTCACTTGAGTGATCTTAGGCAACACTGTGACTTCTGCCAATGCCACTTCTTCAGACTTCTAACTTGGAATTCATGGCATGTCAGTGCCACAAATGGATTGCCTTGGCTAGTGTGTCAAGACACCAACACCAAAGGACACATTGTGTGTATAGAGAGATGAAGGTGGCATCTGTTCTCAGTGTCATATAACACCCCAGAATGCAAACTCTAAGCAATTAGATTAGACTCTTGTATTAGACTCAACTCCCAACTGTCTCCCAATTCCAGCAGTATCTTCCCGTGCCAACAGCAGCACCCATCTGATATCCTCGTGTTGGTGCTGTTCCCACATCATCATAATAAATGTTGTTCCAGGTTCAACATTGCAAGTGACCAATCGCTTGTTGTGACGTAATACTTTTGCAAGCCAAGCCATTCATTCATTTATGAAATTCCAATGTTGCAAGGACAATATGTACAATGCTTATTGTTTATTAAAGAGCAGTATCCTGAAATGCAAAGAATTCAAATTGCTGAATCGGCGGACAGAGGCGGTTTCCCGCAAGTTAAGTAGATTTTATTTACAGCATTTCTTTCTGAAGTCGCAAAAGTATCACATCACAACAATGTGACCAACACGAGGATATCAGATCGTGCCACTCCCAACGGGCTCATCTTCTCTAGCAGCTGGTGCAAAGAGGTCCATTTGATGCCAGACAGGTATTTCTCCGTTCCCCTTGACTCTAAGCAGATGGGTTTCTTTCAGACCTTAATTGATGAGTAAATAGATGTAACTTGAGCGGGGAAGAAGAGTGAATCCAAGCTGAAAGTCTTTAGCTTTTTGTAGTAGCATTTAAGTAAGATGAGGCGTTTTAATGGTTAGCTGTTTGCTAAAAGCTGGAGTGCTGGTTAGCTGTAGCGCCACCTTTTTTCATGCTATTCATGAACTTCACACATTTATATGCACTGCATTTCAAAAGGAGACTCACACAAACTGTATCCACAACATCGCAGGTGTTTCTTGGGAAAAAAAAACCAAAAGTCCAGTCTTTGTAATTCAGTTATGAGGAAGGAGTAGTAAATTTATGAGTGGGACAGAAAATGACAGACAAAACTGATTACCACTACACCAGGTGGCTACTTTGCTTTCTCTCAGTCACTCTTTCTCTCTGTGTGACTGACAGCATCCAGGCTCTGCTCTGCACCTCATTAAAAATCACCACATCATACCTGCAGTATCCCAGTATCTAAATATAAACACAGGAGGGAGCCCCCTGCCTCCCCCCCATTCTATCTGACAGAGACAGCCCGCTAATGAGCTTCATCACTATGAGAAAGCACTGACAGGGGATGGAGGGATGTGGGACAGATGGAGAAAAGGATCGGTGGAGTAAGGGAAGGATGCTGGCGAAGTTTCAACAGACCAGTTAGTGTTCTTCTTCTGTCTCTTTATCAAAAGGACAGCACAGTTGTGGAAGGCCCAGAAAGGAAAAGTGAAAAACACAGGCAGCACAGTTTGTCAAAGCTATCAGCGAAATGAGAGAGGAGAAAATGCAAAGGACGAGAGAGGGAAGGAGAGTTTCCAAGGTTACAATAACGAGACTCAGTCTGGGCACTGAAAGCTGGTGGAAATCAAGGGGTTAGGACTTCAGTGCAATGGAAGTGCACTGGCCTCGCCTGCACTGTTGTCTCACGCTCATTTTTCTCTTTGTGTGCACGCGTGAGTCACAAAAGAGGCGAAGTTGTATTCGAAAGCAGCAGTTCTTGTATTTGATTTCTTGTAAAGAGGGAAATGAAAGAAAGGGCATTGTTTAAACTGAGGCAAGGTGGAGGTGAAAAGAAAAGAATAGCAGGTAGGTTGAAAAGTCAAGTTCCTCTGTAAACACCAGCAGTGCTCAGATCTGACCCGTCCACAGCTAAAGAAGTATCGTAAGTGTTTGTAGAGTAAACACATCAGAAGTAGTGCAGGAGAGGAGAGCGGTGGGTGGAAGGGCCTGCTTTAGGGACCTTACTGAAAGAACTATTGATCAGTCTAGAAGAATCTTGTCCATCCACATACGACTGAGCGCCACTCAGTGCAGAGGGCACAGGGAGCAGTTCTCTTTATAGCTTGAAGCATGATTAGTTTCTCTCAATGAGTTTAATCCTCTTTTGTTATTGAAGAGCATGAATTAAATGTGCTGTTGAATCATCAACAGATTTGGATCATCAACAGATTTGAACAGAGAGATATAAACTTTTTTACAGTATGGGAAGTTGAAAGTTTTCAAAAATACATTTGCAAAAGCTGAATTTCCCCTGGATGCTCCAATTATTATTCTGCAGTCCACCAAAAGCCAATACTCTGCTTGAAAGAAAGTCTTGGCTGTTTATATAGCAGAGGAATAAAGCTATAGAGTCTAGGACTGTCGGGGTTTTTCACCCCCCAAAAAACAAAAAAAGAAAACACCAAAGAATTTAAAAGCACTGGAAAAAGATAGCAGAATGACAAAAGACAGCCATAAACCTGTGCAGTCTGCACAGCAGGGGTCATGACCTCCTGCGGTCAGCGGAGACAGGGCTGCACTCCACACTCAGATGTCTGTTTCGGTTTTGTATCTTGCAACCTTTCCTTCACCTCACACCATTACCCCCATCGCACATCCATCCTCCTGCTGTGTAAACGACAGATTAGAGTGCTGGCGGGGAAGGAATTTACTATAAACATACATCAAACAAATGACCCTCCCCTCTCTCTAAAAGAAAAAAAAAACATTTACACCACCTCACCCCATCATGATCCAGCTTGACAAACAGGCTTGATTGGATTCCTTAGTGACGGTCAGAGAGTGATACTGACAAACCATTGCAAGGTGGAACCGTGAGAGGAACTGCACATGCTTTTGTTTTCCTGCATACACCTATCTTCCCCAACAACAGGTGTAGCTGGAACGGGGGGGAATCTCTCACTACTGACTGGTCCATTTGCTGTTTCATTTTTCAGCTGGTTCGTGTTGTCAGATCACCTTTGCTGTTGGAACAGACCAGAAGCAGGGCAGTTATCACTTATACTGCTCGCTCTCCTTCCCATCATTCTGTTTCATCTATCACACAAACACGCACGCACACATGCACAAGTTCTCTGTCCTCTTTTCTTTGCCCGTTCTTTCTATTATCTTTTTTCTCTTTTCTCTCTATCATATAAGAAACATTCCCTCCACTAATCAGCAACAGCTGGGCTCCAGTCAGCCCAGCTAACCCGTAAACACGAGCAGAAAAATGAGTCTCTCTCTTAGCATCTTAGCACCTGTCCCTCCCTGTCTCTTCATTCCAGTTTCAATTTCTCTGTTAGAATATGTTTGTAATCATCCAATAAAGGTTAATGCGAGTCAAAAACGAACAAAGCCTGCATTTCTACAGCTACCCCAGCATGAGATATCAGTGAAGAACAAGAAAGGGGAAGATATGTGATGAAAATAATCATTTCTGAGTGATTTAGTGTCTGTGCAGTTTTTCAAAGTGAAAAACTGCATTTAGACTTCTTAAGTTAACAAATCAGATCAACCCAAATGATTTAAGTTACACACATTGAGGAATAAGTGAAACTTAACTTGCGAACTTTTACTGGAATAACAGTGATCAGGCTGTAAATTCAAGCTGATAGAAAAATAAACCACCGTCACTAAAGCAGGAAACTGCAATTCAAATACCCTTTTGAAAGTGTGCTTTACACGTATCTGTGCTTTCCATGACTCAAGTAAAGCAGGCTCCCTTCTATGATTTGGCTATTGCACTGTCACACCCCAGTACAGTAAGTATTGATGCTTTTCCACGGCTTATGTCATTCGGTTTCAATATATAAATCATGACAGGGATAATAAACCTGGTGGGAAAAGGTGTCATACTGACACAGACTCCTCCTTACATTTCTTTATTGTCTGTTGCCACAGCGGTGCAGGTACAATATAATACAATACGACTCACTGAGTCATGGGAATGCATGCTGCTTTCTAACAGCATATGGTGGCTTTGTTGTCGTACTTTTAAAAAGTCTAACTCCACTGTTGTGTGAGATGAAGTGTTTGAAGCTTCTTTTTTTAAATTTCCCTTCAACAGCTAAGACAGGTACTAAAGAGCGTATCTGTAGCCAGGTGTAAAATATAAAGATTATTACAGCACAATAAAGTATTTTATAATCATCCTGTTTATCCCACTTGAATCTAAAAGTAAAGCCCATCTGTTTTGCTGGGGAAAAAAAACAATGCTGCTCATCAAACTGGGATGATGCGCCATCGTGGCATTTCTGTGCTGCTCAGCGCAGGGAGTCCAGGTGGTGTACGTCCCCCCCGCTGTGTGCACAATGTATAGCTCTTCAGCACTGAAAGCGAGAATCAGACTGGTCCCCGAAGCAGAAATAAGACAAGGCAAACAAACCATCAGTCTTGCTGGTGTGCTTTACTGTCACAGACCTGTTCTCCCCAAAACAAACAAAACCACTTAAAACACCAGGCTCAATCTTTCAGACTAAGCTCCCCCAGCCCCACAGAGCTGGATCCTGTCAAGTGTTTAAAAAAAAAAAAAGATAATGATCCTTTCAGCAACTGTTAAAAGTAGTTATAGCACTGTTAATTGTTCAGGTTGGGAGTATAAAGCTGAAAAAAGAGAGAGCTTGCTCTGTCATCAAGTTAAACTGATGTAGACAACTTTTGGCCCAACCAATAAAATGAGATCTGATGATCAAATGTGCTGTGAAGCAGTAATGGCAACGCTGGCAATGCTAACCATTAGCTAAAGCTCTTCCATTAGGCTGATTAGTGTAATTTATAAGCAAGCGTGCGTTTGGGGGCACATTGGATAATTTACATGTGGTTATTATGAGAATATTATGAGCAGGTGGGCTACATTAAATAAGCTCTGAAGGAATTCTGTGAACATATAACGAGCATATCGAACAACAGTGGTGTTGAAGTTTAATGGCCAAGGCTCACCAATGGGGAAGCAGAAATTTCAAAGCACGTCTGTATTCAGATTTTTGAAAAGTAGCCCCGATTTCACTTGATATGCTATCACTTCTTTGGATTGCATGCTTGGATGAGGCCCATTTGCTACATATAGAATGTAAATTGACCTAGAATGTCAACTGAAACCTTTGTATGAGGTGTTGCCAGTCTGGTAGCTATACCTGCCCTCCATCAGCTTATCAGACACTTCCACACATTCTGAGAGACTTGATCTGACTCTGCCTCTGATTCAGATCAAGCACTTTATGTGCTGAGATTTTGTGATAATTCTCAGCGTGTGGCCGATGATAGCAGCCACTTTAAGTTTAAGTCATTATCGAAAAACGTCTTGTGTCACAGCTTTGCATAATTCTTCAAGGTGATAGACCTGACATGTAATCACTGACTTAACTATTTTTCTAAAAGCCTGACGTTATTCTGGTGTATTCTGAGCTGAGTCTCTGTGACTTCTAATTTCCGCTCATTCATTAAAGCCGATCTCAAACAAAGTAGAGTAATAAAAAGCATTGCGATAGCCTTTATCTCTGATATAAATTTCCTTTTTTAACCCACTTCATTACAAGCCAGTGACTCTATTTAAATGCGAGCAAATTTGTCAATAACCGGCACATGTCAAGGCTGTCTGTTCCTTTCTCTAATTACAGACGAAGGGGTCTTGTGAGGATCACAAGGATGTTACTTTAGTTTGGCTGCAGTGTCTCTACCTCCCTCATTCGCTCACCCTCTGAGTGCACACCGCTGGAGGCATCGCAGCAGGGGGGATCCTCTTTTCCAGGCCAAATGCACTCGCTACAGTAAACATCCTCTCTCCTGCTTCACTCCGGGATAGGCGGACCCGTACAAATCATTGTGTCAAGGCAATGGCCCAAGGAAAGGAAATGTGTGTGAAAGATTTGTTTTCCTTTTTTTTTTATTACAGGCAACCATGAGAGTAATTACAGAAAAACACTTTCAAAGCACATTCTGACATTAACAGTTAATATTCATATGAGGATTTAATCATCATGCTGTGCACACTGTAGCATCCTTCTATTTTCTTCCCGCTTACCCAACCTGGGGTCTATTCCACTCGTCTTACATCCTAGACAGGTAACCAGTCCAACACAACCCACAACACAACCGTATATGGAAAAGAAATAGAAAAAACTTATAAAAGACTTGCATCAGATGTGGTCTACTTCATATAGTGAATCATATAAGGCTTATATGATTTACTCATGAATTTTTCAAGGGATCTTATATCTGTTTTCACTCTTGTATGCTTTTCATACAAGTTTCACACAAGACAGATACAAACTTCATAAGATTTTTATATATCTTTTCCATGTGGGAAGGCTAACACACAGAGCACACAACCATGTGTTTTCTCATCTACACCTACAATCTACAACAATTAACCTAACAAGTCTTTAGACTGTGTGGAAGCCGTAGTATCAGAGGGAGCACGTAAACTCCATAAAGAGTCAGTTCAATAGAGATCAATATATTAAGTGTTTACTGTACGAATTTCTTTATGCAAGGCCTGTTATCTAGATCCAAATGATCTTTATGATGTTGTGCATACTATCTTCACATATCAGACTTTTGACTGTTTTAAAAGACTCAGGCTACATTAGTTTCCCAAAGCAGGAGTTGATCTCCTGTTCGTGCAGACGCTCTTCAGTAATAATATCATAACCAGCTACCCTTTATATTTCTTGGACTGAAACACCATCAAGTTTTTCTTCTACTTGAATCACGACCTTTTCTCAAAGCTTCAGCATGCTCACACCCAAGTTAGCTAGTAGAACATTGCTTATAAAGCAGATTTAATTCAAGGTGGAAGTGCAATGAGCAGCATTAGATGTGAGCAACCACAGAGACTGCAGGCAGAAATTAGCATAAAGCTAAAATATGAAACACAATCGTTAAGCAATGTGATTAAAACACCACAAAAATAATGCACATGATTAAAACAATGATAAAATATATAGATATAAAATATATAAAACAATTCATTAAAACAAGAGCAGCATTAAACCAATTAGAAATTAATAATACATGTGACTTAAATTACTGCTAATAATAATAATAATAATAATAATAATAATAATAATAATAATAAAGGATTAAATAAAATAATTAGGAATAGTAATAGCAATGTGTGCCTGTGTGATCACATATGTGTGTGCGTCTGTATGTGTCTGTGTATTACATACCTAATCACTCATAGTTTCCCTGTGCTACTGATATTTCAGAGCAGTTTTTTGTTTTTGTTTTTTTTTTCTAAGTAATCCTGCTGATTGGCTACCATCCAACCACTCCTGAGAGAAGTCTAAGCCTCTACAGCTCCCAGGTACAACTGCAATGAGTAACAGGAGCAAGAAGCCTCTTGTGTGTAAGTGTTTGATCACTTGTTGTTTTGAAAAACCTTAAATTGAAGAGGTAAAGCTTCCGTTATGAAGCAGCCCCTCTGCACTGAACACTTTGTGTTTGTGAGTCAAGACCGCGTGTCTTCTCTCACAACTCTGGGAATGCAGACAAACCACCTGAAGTGTAGGAACAGGTAAGCCAAGCAGAGATAACACAGCCTACGTGTAATCAGTAACCACATGGTTACCGAACTGCAACTACTTCAACAAACAATATCATAAAATGTCGAAACCATGAGGTCTTGAGGTTGTTTTATTATTACTGCCTGGGACAGAAAGGTTTACCACTGACCTCTGACCATATTCAAGCTCACACCTTTAAATTTTTATCCAAATATTTACCCTCCTTTCTTAATTGTGCTCATGATTTTTTTTTCATGTCTTTAGCTTATATTGATAAATGGACTGGACTGTAGTCAACATAATTTACAAAGAGTTTGTTGTGTAAGTATCTTCATGACTCTGTGTTCTTTCTTATAATCAATCGAGACATTTTTTGGCAACTTCTAAAAAGTTTTAAGAAGTATTTTTAAACTTTTTGACAGGCGATCGCTTTTTGGGAGGCAACTTTGGTATGACATGCAGCTTGTGGCACTAAATGTGAAGAAAGTAAGAGATGAATGTGAATAAAAAGTTTAGCTTATAAATATGATCTCTTTCTTCATGGCCGAGGTGACCTACCAGGGGAGCCTGTGGCACAAACTTCACGAGAGTGAGTAATCATGGCCCCTGCTGATCCTCTTCTAGCTTTCAGTGTGTTATATCTCTGTACCTTGTCTCCCTCAGCTGAGTGCAGCACGATCAATCGGCACTGATTCGGCCCACAAACACTGTCAGTGCAATAGGAGAAAACTATGTGGCTTCTAGTTAAGTGTATTAATATGATTTAAAACGCCCTAAGGTCCTGTAATTGTGGTTTCATTGTGCTTGAGTTTGAGCACTCTCGCTGCCAGTGAGCAGTTAATCAAATAGCAGCAACAACACTGGCACAGTTAGCAGCAGACTTTTGGGTTTCGGGGCCACTTGCAATTAGTTTAACCAATCAAGATGAATAACATGCCCACCGGGTGGAGAGTATTTGTTTCTAGTTGACACCGGAGTACCTGTTTGAGAACAACTCTCTTTATAGAAAACAGAAAAATCACGCCAGGTCTCCTCAATGGGGGAAGCCTAAGCTTGTTCAGTTCAGGTGAATCGTCTCCATCCTTACCTTGAACTCCACAGACAGCTGCGGCGTGTACTCCAGTGTCCAAAGCGCTCGAACCAGCGACGCCAGCTGCTCTGTCACCTCTCCCCTGGCGGTCTGCGACTCCGCTCCTCTCACCTCCCCGTTAACCCTCTGGAGGCAAATATCCGACTTATACTGCTCCAACCCGAGGTATTCGGCGAGCAGGTCCGTGTTGCTGAGGCACTGAACCACAGCGTTCATGAAACAGGTGTTGCCGTGGTTCTTCAGTCCCAGCACTCCCGGGGTCTTGTCGCCGTAGCACCACGACAGCCTGTCTTTCACCGAGCCGTGAATGGACGAAACCGTGGAGCTCTTCTTTACGGTTCCTTCCCTGGAGATCTGCGAACAGTTATCTTTAAAACCACCCGACGCGCTTTGCCCGAAACCGCCGTCGTCGTCTTCTGCGTCCTGCTGTTCCGCGTCGCCAAAGTGCGCTAAAGTGCCCAAAGTTTTAAGGATCCTTCCCATGAAATTCCCAAAAGATCGAAGCGATTTCCGTCTAGTAAACCTACCAGATTTGTATTTCTTCTCCTTTGGCTTCGTCGTTTTGGGTTTCATGGGTTGTCTTCTTACCTTGCTTTCCTTACGGGTATCCATGGCTCTATCACTTAAACGGACCGAGAGAAAATGAAACAGACTATCAACGCGCACCTGTCTGCCAGGCTGTCTACCCCTCCTCCTCCCCCGTCTCACTTCTCTCCACAAACCTCACTGCCGCGAAGCCAATAAGGCACATTATTGCTGATATTATCCCATCGACATCTCGGTGCGCGCGTTTTGTCGGGTGACGATCTATCTCTGCAGGAGCTACAGAGACGAGCGGCTCTCCTTCTTCCACATCGCAGGTTCATTTATACTTCCTCGTCGATGGCTCTCAGCGCTGGATCGTGCGCCTGGCGGTCTTTGACTCTCTCTCTCACCACCCCTGTTCTTCCCTCTTCTCCTGTCTGTAGGGCCTCATTGAATTGCCAAGGATCCTGTTTAACTGCCCGCCTCACAGGCAAGAACTGAATTAACCTGAATTAGACTGTAGGCTATCAACACAAATATGTATGTGGTTAAGTCATTCGCAACGGGTGGATGACAGGCAATTCAACTAGGCATATCTACTTTATTTCACTCTGAACAAGGAAGTTGTCGTCTTTAATAGGTGACAGGTACAGCAGTGTGAATCTGCCCCCTGTAGGACCAGTTCTAACATCACCTGCCAAAACATCTGCTGAGGGTGTCAGAGAAAGCAGCACCATCCACAATACCAAACTAAATTATAGACTACTTATAAACTGCTCAGAGAACAACTAAAAAATAAGTTTCCAGTATAATGGTAAATGGACTAGTTCTTATTGAGCATTTTCCAGTCTGCTTGAGCATTCAAAGTGCTTTAAACAACCCATTCATCCAAGCACTTCTCACACACATACATTCAGAAATTGCTATTTCTGCTGAAGAGCCTGTCCACATAGGTAGACCTGGTACACCTGTGCTATTTGCTCTGACAGACACCTGTTTGTGAAAGCCAATAGCATGTCTAATCAACCAATTATGATACCAACCCAGTGGATTTAGGAATGCAGACATGGTCAAAATGACCAGTGATGGTTCGAACTGAGCATCAGAATGGGAAAGAAGGGTGATTTAAATGTAGCATGGTTATTGTTGCCAGACAGGCTGGTAAAACTATTTCAGGAACGTGTGATCTATTGGGACCTTCCTGCACAGCGATCCAGAGAATATTAGAATAGAATGGGCTGGTGTAGCAGAAGACCACACCCTGTGCCACTCCTATTAGCCAAGAAACAGGCAGAAAACCAATGCTACAGTTCACACAGGTTCACCAAATTTGGACAATAGAAGGCAGCTGGGTGATATGTCATGTTCATCCCATCCACCCATTTTCTCCTGCTTATCACATGGACTATTTCATAAAAACTAAGTTTACCTGAATCTGGTTTCTTGAACATGACAATGATTTTACAGGGTTTCAATCTAATAGAGCAGCTTTGGGAGTGGAACAGAAGACTCACAACTGATTTGCAGCTAACAAATCTACAGCAATTGTGTGATCCTATCATGTCAATATGGACCAAAACCTCTGAGGAATGTTTCCAACAAGTTAAGCATGAGTTAAGTTATGGCGGTTCTGAAGGCAAAGGGGATCCAAAAGGGGCGATACTACTATTGTATTAGTAGTGGCCAGTGAGGGTATAAAAACCAAGGTTATCAAAGTATAGATACTGACATCTACCCTACATATTGCCATGCATACATGGTCAACATTTTCTTCATCCTGCTAATCAAATACCTAAGACATCGTCACTTGCAGACAGGTGTAGCCAAGTCTGGCAACTTTCTGCATGCACATTAATGCTGCTGCTCATACATCATGAAAGCTCGACAAAGTTAGTAAAATGTATGTTAAAATTGTTTTTGCCAGATACATTACATGCAGTTCTGCTTTTCAATGGGAATCCAGCATCTTGTTTGCAATATTCAGATTCTCATCTGAAGCTTAATTTCACAGCTCACCAGTACTAAAGATTGAATTTGGTGGACCAGATGTTCTGATTTATTAAAAGAAAAAGTCAGGTCTCCAACCAATATTCCCGTAATTTTCCCGATGCTCTTGAGCATTGTTAGAAAAATGAACACATGTTACATGTTACAAATTCCGAGGCAAACCGTGTCATTCTGTGTCTGTGTTATGAAGATGACCCGTGTTTTACAGCAATCCTCTGTTCATTATCATTGTGCTAAACGACAGTGCAAGGAATTATGCCCAAGCTTAATGAGCAGGGATTTTATTTTATTTTTTTATTATTTTTGCTGACCTGCCACAGACTGGTAACCTGTCCTGGTTTACACCACCTCTTGTCTCATGACAGTTGGGATAAGCCCCAATCCTCCTGAATTCGATAAGAGGTAGAAATTGGACAGATGGATGGATGGTTTATATAACAATGTTTTTGTTTTTTTTGCAGGAAGTAGTAGTGAATTAGAATTGTACATTGCACCACTCTTTTACCACAACCTCTCAGAGAATAAATCTTATTACATTAGGGGACAGCAGTCCCTAATCTTTTCACTTTTATATACAGAATGTATTCAGACTACTTCAACCTTGCATTTTATATTGTAAATGTAATTTTTAAATTAATCTACAAGAAATAAAAAATAGCACCAGAAATTTTGCTATATAAGCAACAATAACTATTTTCACTATGAAAGTACTGTTTTCCCCATTTCATGGCACACCGTTACACCTTCAAGTCAATCAACTTTTTTCTGGCAAGCTCCATCAGATTGGGTGGTGAACACCTTTGATGTGTCATCTTTACATCTTAGATTTAAACAGTGGTTTATGGTTTAGCTGCAGTTGATCCACTTTAGCATTTTCTTTTCTCAATGCTTCAGTTCACTATGGTGCTGAAAAGTTCTGTCACCCATTCTCAGGTCAAAGCTGGTTTTCTTTAAGACCAGACCAGTCTCCCTGAGGGACACCCCAGTACCATGATGCTGCCATCCCCATGCTTCACTCTAGTGATGGTAATAACCAGCCGACTGGCTTCTGGATAATACCTCTACCATGAAGGCCAGTCACCTACCAGAAGGTCATTCTTGGTCACATTCTTGACCAAGGCACTTTTTGTTCAATAACTCAGTTTGGTAAACTCTAGCACTCAGATGTTTTGTGTATTTTACTTTTTGTATTTCACAGACATTGAAGCCATATTTAGAAACTGATTCATCCTCTTGCCCTATTCGCAATGACATTGTGAACTTTCTATGTGTGTTTACCTGGACATGTAGCTTTAAATGATTAACAACTGATGTGTGGCTATTACATTCTACACATCTCGAGGCTCAAAAATCAAACAGGATGACTGTCACTGCAAAGGCTCTGAATACTTTTCAAAATGAAGATTTTGATTTTTAATAGAATTTCAAAAGAGCAAAAAAAGAGAAAGGATTTATTAATGCTTTAATTCACTTTTTCTTTTTTTTTCTTTTTTTTTTTAAATTGATTGACAAATATTACCCATTTAAAAATCAACAAAACCATGCAAAAAAAAAAAAAAAAAAACCCCACTACATTTACTATGCATCAGTGAGCAAAAACATCTTATACAGCAATTGTTGCTTCATGAGGTTACATGTATTTATTTTGGTAAGAATGTAAGTCCATATTGCTAAAACAATATAATAGTAACATTTTGTACATTTTTGGAAAACTCAAAAAAAAATGTCTGGATGGCTAAAAGTTTGTGTTTCTTCCCGTGTCCAAATCTCCAGTTAAGAGGAAGGAACATGAGGGAACTTCCAGCAAAGAATGGCTCCATCTGCACTTGTACTGACTAAGTTGCGGCTGTTGGAGCAGATTTTCATGCTGGTAATACTGCCACCATGACCTACCCCTACGTGGGTTACTCCACCTAACATGTAGTCCCACACTTTCACCAGCTTATCATCTCCACCTGGTATGAAAAGGTGAACAACATAAGAAACCAGAAGCTCTAGGGAAATATCACTAATTATTGTGCAATACTGTTCCTTATATAAAACACATGAAAACTATATTTGCATAAAATATTCAATTAGGTTTTGATCTAAACGGGAGCATAACGGGCAAGGCAGCAGGGACAAATATAAAATTGCTATCTATATATGAGTAGCATGGAAGAAGAAGAAGTGCAAATGAGTAATGTGCCATACCTGTCACAAAGTATTTGCCATCCTGTGAGATATGCATGCCATTGATGGCACCAGACTGCGAAGCCTCAAGTTGTCTGAGGGCAGATTTACCCTCAAACACGTCCCAGTAGGCAACCTGAGGGACAAAATGTACACAATGCACAGAAAGTCTAAGTGGAGATGAAGGTTACACATTTATACTCTGAAGTTTTTTTGTTTGTTACTAAGGATTGATAGGCTTGCTATGCAGACTGCTACTAATGAGATCAAGTGAAAACATCTCTGTGCTTTTGTGCTATTTTTATTCAACATTATATACAGTATACACTTTACCACTTCCTATTTTGGTAGTAGTACGCAATAGGTGACCTCAGACTCTCACCTTCACTGCTTTCTCGTTTTAACTCTATATGAAAATGAGCTGGTTTGATTCTATCATATATCTAAATGAGTTTTGAACATCTCTAGGGCTTAACAGCCGTCAGAGTATCAAGTCTCACAAAAGGCGATTGTTAGTTGAAGTTATTTATAGCCCAGGTGGCAGAAGCATCACAAAACCACAGAGCGAGAACAATCCTTTCTTGTTATTTATATGACCGACCTGATTACTTCTTGGGTGGAGTAAATGAAAGCCCAGATGGACTTGATCATTAAAATTAGGCTTCAGTCATGAATGAGTTCCTAGTAGAAGATTTAACAGTTCACCCTATGTGATTTTAAAAGTCAAGAAGCTGTTTAGAAAGCAGTAAAGCACTCAAAACACTGATGCTAAACACACTGCATTTCAAAGTCAATAAGGAGTTGAGAGAAGGAGATGGAGTTACCACAATTAGCTATTTGTAAAGGTCATGTTAAACAAGGCTGTTCACACAGAGCCCGATGCTTATGAGAAAAGAATTTCATTTTTTGCCCATTATGCCTAATAGGAAGGCAAATAATACAGGATATGTAATCTTTCACACATATTGAATATTGTGCTTACATGGAATGAAAACTAATATGGAGAAATAAATAGAAACCAAATCTTCCTAATGTAACCAAATCAGAATGTAAGGCTTAAATGTGAACAAAACAATACTCACTTCTCAGCTAAGGCCTGCATTAATCGATAACATATTTAGTGAGATGTCTTTTCAAACAAATCAGCGCCTTAAATTAATCATTGCGCTATGATTAATAAAAAGAAGTTAATGGT